TCTATTCATCTGGGCGCCTCTAAGATGTATCAGGATTTGTGATAGCATTATTGGTGGAGAAGGATGAAGAAGGATATTGTTGCATATGTGGCTCAGTGTTTGAATTGTCAGCAAGTAAAGTACAAGCATCGTAGACCTGGTGGTTTGTTCCAGAAGATTGAGATTCCTGAGTGGAAGTGGGAGCGTATCACTATGGACTTTATTGTTGGACTCCCACAGATTCAAAGGAAGTTTGATGCAGTGTGGGTTATTGTTGATAGGCTGACCAAGTCAGCACATTTCATTCCTGTGGCAGTCTCCTATTCTTCCGAGAGGTTAGCTGAGATCTATATCCAGGAGATTGTTCATCTTCATGATGTGCTCGTGTCTATCATTTTGGACCGAGGTACGCAGTTTACCTCACATTTCTGGAGAGTAGTTTAGTGTGAGTTGGGCACACGGGTCGATTTGAGCACAGTATTTCATCCTCAAATGGACGGGCAGTCCGAGCGCACTATTCAGATTTTGGAGGATATGCTCCGAGCTTGTGTTATTGACTTTGGAGGCTCGTGGGATCAGTTCTTGCCTTTAGCAGAGTTTGCCTACAATAACAGCTACCAGTCAAGCATCCAGATGGCTCCTTATGAGGCTTTATATGTTAGGCGGCGGCGGTCGCCAGTTGGATGGTTTGAGCCGGGAGAGGCTTGGTTGTTGGGTACGGATCTAGTTCAGGATGCCTTGGACAAGGTCAGGATCATTCAGGATAGGCTTCGTACAGCTCAGTCCAGGCAAAATATTTATGCCGACCGTAAGGTTCGTGATGTGGCATTCATGGTTGGCGAGCGGGTGTTGCTTCGGGTGTCGCCTATGAAGGGAGTGATGAGATTTGGGAAGAGGGGCAAGCTTAGCCCTAGGTTCATTGGTCCTTTTGAGATTCTTGATCGAGTAGGAGAAGTGGCTTACAGACTTGCGTTGCCGCCAAGCTTATCGGCCGTGCATCCAGTGTTTCATGTGTCTATGTTTCAGAAGTATCACGGCGATCCATCCCACGTGTTAGATTTAAGCAATGTCCAGTTGGACAAGGACTTGTCCTATGAGGAGGAGCCGGTAGCTATTCTAGACCGGCAGGATCGTCAGTTGAGATCAAAGAATTTCCCTTCTGTTCGTGTTCAGTGGAGAGGTCAACCTATTGAGGCAGCGACCTAGGAGTATGAGTCTGATATGCGGAGCCGTTATCCCCATCTTTTCTCTGACTCAGGTACTTCCTTCTTATGTCCGTTCGAGGACGAACGGTTGTTTTAGAGATAGAGAATGTGATGACCCAAAAGGTTTTACAAGTCAATTCTATGTCCCAAGGCCTTAAAACCTCCTTTTTGTCTTACCTCGATTTGTGTGCTCAGTCCGGGCATGTATCCAAAAAGCCATTATGTGAAAATTTGTGAAAAATGGTAAATTTTGCTTTTAAAATGAATTTGAACTGATTTCGGTCAACATTTTGGGTAAACGAACCCGGACCCATGATTCGACAGTCTCGTAGGGTCCGTAGGAAAATATGGAACTTGGACGTATGCCCAGAATTGAATTCCGAGGTCCCAAGCCCGAGAAATGAATTTTGAAGAAAATTGTTTAACTGAAATTTTTAGAGTTTTTGGAAAGTTGAATGTATTTGAAATTGATGGTATCGGGCCCGTATCTTGGTTCCGGAGCCCAGAACAGGTCTTATATGGTGTTTAGATCAAGCCTGTAAAATTTGGTAAGAAACGGACTTGAAATGATGTGAATCGGACCCTCGGTTGTGAAATTTGAAACTTAAGAGTTCTTGAGATTTTTCTTTGATTTTGATACTAAATTCGTTGTTAAAGATATTAAATTGGTGATTTGTTCGCACGAGTAAGTTCATATGATGTTTTTGAGTTAGTATGCATGTTTTGTTTGGAGCCCCGAGGGCTCGGGTCAATTATGTATAGGTTTCGGGATGTTTTTACACTTAGAAAAGTTGCAGGTTTTCAGTTTCTGGTATTCTGGAGTTTTGTTCTTCGCGTTCGCGAAAGGACTCTCGCAAACACGAAAGGTAACTCAGGCTGAAGGACAATTTCTTCTACGCGAACGCGAGAAACAGGACGCGAACGCGAAGCTTTGGGGGTGCTACCCTTCGCGAACGCGGACCTGCTATTGCAAACGCGAAGGCCTTTTGGCCGGGACAGGGGGAAAGGGATTTTTGTTCTACGCGAACGCGGCCACTGGCCCACGAACGCGATGTCTTGAGGCGCTAAAGCTCCACGAACGTGAGCCACTAAGCACGAACGCGAAGGCAACTGGGCCTGATCCTTCGCGAACGCGAAGAAGGCCTGTCCAGTGAATTAAAAATAGTAGCAAATCGGGATTGAGTCCATAACTTCATATTTTCAAAACTAGAGAGCATTGAGGCAATTTTCAAAGAATAAGTTCTTCCCCAAAGCATTATATGATTCTAAACCTTTTTCTTTCGATTTCCCATTGCATTTCATCAATTTTCATCTAAAAATCTAAGGTTTTTATTGTAGAAATTAGGAATTTGGGTAGAGTTAGGGCTTTGTGAATAATTGGAATTTGACCCTTTTTTGGGGTCAGATTTCGAAACTAATTGCATATTTGGGCTTGTGGGTGAATGGGTGATCAGGTTTTGGTCCGAACCTCGAGTTTCGACCAAACGGGACCGGGGTCAATTTTTGACTTTTTGGGAAAACTGATAGAAAACCTATAATTAAGCATTGGGTATGAATTCTTTAGCATTTATTGATGTTGTTAAATTAATTTGGGCTAGATACAAGTAATTTGGAGGCGAATTCTAAAGGAAAAGCGGTGTTTGAGGCTTGAGTTGGCCGTAGAAGTTCGAGGTAAGTGTTTGGTCTAACCTTAGGTTAAGGGATTAGGAGTTGTGTCTTAATTGCTATGTGTTAATTGTGGAGTACGATGTATAGGCATGGTGACGAGTATCTATACGTCGGTGTCAAGCATGCCCGTGGGTCTAGCATTGTAATTATTGTGACTCCGTTGAGATTTATTCATGCTTAATATGTTGATTATAATTGTTGGTTCCCTTGCCGGGATGTATTTGTTTATGATATTGTCTCCCTTGCCGGGATGTTATTGTTTATGATATTGTATCCCTTGCCGGGATATTATTGTTTATGATATTGTCTCCCTTGCCGGGACATTGTTGTTTATGATATTGTCTCTCTTGCCGGGATGTTGTTGTTATACTCATGTTCCCTTGTCGGGATTCTTTTAAGATTGATGTTGAAATGTAAATGGGAGCGGGTGGCACGCCGCCACGGTAATATATAAAATGGGAGCGGGTGGCATGCCGCCACAGTGATATTTGAAATGGGATCGGGTTGCACGCCTGCAACAAGATATATGAAATGGGAGCAGGTTGCACGCCTGCAACAAGATATATGAAATGGGAGCGGGTTGCACGCCTGCAACGAGATATATGAAATGGGGTCGGGTTGCACGCCTGCAACAAGAAAGAAATGATTGTGAATACTGTGTTTGTTTTCCTTATTCTTGTTGGCAATTAAAATTTGGTTTCTTTACATTCCTCTTTGGTATTTTGTTGTTATCTGATACTCCATGTAGCATGTCTTTCCCTCCCATCTTTAACTGTAAATATCTGCTTTTATTTTTTTGATGTATATGATATAACTGCATAGGTTTATTTGGTAGTTTGGTCCTAGCCTCGTCACTACTTCGCTGAGGTTAGGCTAGGCACTTACCAGCACAGGGTGTCGGTTGTGCTGATACTACACTCTGAACTGTGTGCAGATCCCGGTGTTGCAGCTTTCGGAACGCAGTGAAGGTGTTGTCTTCAGTCCATTCAGGCGACCCGAGGTAGTCATGTAGGCGTCTGCAGGCCTTGGCATCTCTTTCTATCATTTCCTTCTAGTTTTTTTACTTATTCAGAGACAGATTCGTATATTTTATTCATATTTGTAGTATTCGTAAATGGTCCGTAACTTTGTGACACCAAATTCTGGGTAGTGTTGTATTTCGGATTCATGTAGCAACGTTTGGTTAAACTATTAAGTTTTCGTCTTCCGCATTTCTGGTTATTTAATTTGTTCCGCTGTTTGATCACTTATTATATTGAACTATTGAAAAGGCTTGACAAAAAGGGTAATAAATTTTATAACACTCGGCTTGCCTAGCTTTCATGAGTAGGCGCCATCACGACTCCCGAGGGTGGAAAATTCGGGTTGTGACATTTTTTAATGGGTATGGTTGAGATTCATTGAAAACATATAGATAAGTCAATATACAAAATTTGAGGAAGATTGGAGGTGATTTGGACTGATTTGGTATCAAAATTCGTAGTTAAAATCAAGTTCAAAAAATTCTTCTGCAACACAGGTATCACGCATGTATATAGCACGTAGGTATACATGGATATACATGTGATATACATCAGAACAAATATGAAACATATGTGATAATGATACACTATTTTTTTTTATGTTCATCTTCTATTTTGAATTTTCAATTCAAACCACTTCAAAACTCCACCAAATCATCTCAAAATTGAGATTCAAGCTCCTTAAGATGTGTCCAATCTATTCTAATAATACACACTCAAAAGAAAGCAAAAGTTTGACATTTTTTTTTTGCTACAAATAGCTAATTAGCTAATATTTGTAATATTTGGATAATATTAGTAATAGTTTATGAATTGACCAATTTTAATAAGCTACTCATGAATAGACATGGATGGTATTTTCCCTTTCGTAAATACTTTTAAAAAGGAGGACAATATTTGAAGATCAGCACCTTATAGCCCAATTCCCATGCTTAGGGTTTACAAGTCTCTCTCGGCGCAGCCCAAGGTTCAAAATTTTGAATGCACGCTCCAACGGTCATATTCACAAGGGTTCCTTCCTTCTCTGCACCTACACAAGTAATAATATAT